TATATATATATATATATATATATATATATATATATATATATATATATATATATATATATATATATTGTTAGATTCAAGTATGCCTAATGGAATGACCCGATTGACCATTTTTCAAAAAATTCGTAAAATTATCATTTTCCCCCACCCTATATTGATCCCAAGTTATTGAGTTTTGAAAGTTGGTCTCGAACTTTGAGTAAAAAGTTTGTGAATTTTGTAAGTTCCAATTAGTTTAAAAGGCTAATGTTGTTTACAAGCTATTTTTGACGTCTTTTGAAATTTTGAGTGTCGAAATAAAATTCCTTCTATTTCATCAGTCCCGAAATGTGGAAATAATCTATGAGAGTTGTTGGTTTTAAGACTCGATTTTTTTTTTGAGGATATGAGGCCCCAAGTTGGAAATTTGTGAAACTTTAGCATTTTTATGTTAGACTTTAGTCAACATTTGTGGTTTGGACGCTTGGATATGAATTCCAAGAGTTCTATTGAATTTTCGTGTGGTTCACTTAAGCAAACTTGAATTGCTTTTGTGACATTTTTTTGTTTGAAATTTCAGGGTTTAAGTCTCATTTTTATTTTTAGCTTGATAAAATCCTTGGAGGTGAAATAATTATTAATTATTCATGAATTAATTAAATATTATTGTGACAGTCATTAACTTATGAAAAAGTTATAGTCTGGATGGGATAATTCAACATACAGAGAGACACGAATCAGAACTGAATTACTACACGAATCAGAACTTGAAACAATGAAAAAATAATGTTATGGGGCTTCCCTGTCGAGAAGAAAAAGTTTTTCTCTTAGAGAGCCGTTTTCTGATGTATGTTCTTATGTTGAAATGATTGTCCATCTCCCACTTGCTTCTATTCATAACCCCAAAAAGGTAATTCTTTTTTTTAAAAAAAATCTTATTTACGGTTCTTAAATATTAGAGTTGGACTAAATTCGATATTTTTCAGGTTCTGATTATTGGAGGAGGAATGTGTTTTACTTTGAGGGAACTCTTACGTTATCCATCTGGTCGAAATTGATGACATGGTGATTAATGTAAGTATTTTACTCATTACTTAATCAGAGGCAGAGCAAGGATTAAAAGTTTGAGATTTCTAAAAAAAATTTACCCAGTAGTCTTGCATAAAAAAAATATTTTTTACGGTCTCCTCCTTATCACTAAACCGTCAATCAATCTTATTAGGAGTTCACAAATTCATATACATATATATTTATTTAAATTTTTAGTACATATATGGAGTCTACGAAAAAGTTATTGGGGTCACCTAGCTCCGTTTGTGAAATTAATTAGTTTGGAGTTTTAATTTTTTTTGTTCCTCATTATTGTTTTTCAATTAAATATAGGCTTCAAGGAAATATTTTCTATAATAATAATATTTGTAGGAAATGCATTTGTGAAGAATGCTGCTCCGGGTACATATGATGCCATGATAGTAGATTCTTCTGATCCTTGTGGTAAGATAAATTTATTTATTTTTATTATATATATATATATACTACGAGAAAAATGTAAATTATATAGAAGATTTTTCTGCGATTAGTATGAAGATTCGTTAAAAACTTATTTTCCTACAAATTTTTATTCTAATCCCCAGAAAAATTCTGAATCCGGAGCCTAAAGGATATAAAATATTAACAAAAAATTCAAAACGATATATAAAATTTTATATTAACCAAAACGGCAAAATCGCTGGAACGACAGCGATTTCCTCCGCCGAAAAAAGCAATCTCGCTGATACTGCAACGATTTTGCAAAATGTGATTTTATTTTTAAAAAAAATTAAAATCACTGCCTTCTTGAAAAAAAAGTAAGCAGCGATTTTATTGAATTTTTTTTTTAAAAAAATGAAATGCTCCTACTGGAGCAATTTGTGACTTTTCAAAAAAAAAAATTAAAAAGATCGCTGCCTAGGCAGCGATTTTGTTGCAAAACTTTTTTTTTTCAAAAAAACGAAAATCGTTGCCACATTTTGCAAAATCGCTGCAGTAGCAACGATTTTGTTTTTTCCGGCGGAGAAAATCGTTGTTGTTCCAACGATTTTACTGTTTTAGTTAATATAAAATTTATTTATACCGTTTTAAAATTTTTTGTTAATATTTTATACCCTTTAGACTCCGGACTCAAAAAATTCTCATATAATTCACAGTTTTCTCCTAACTATATTTCACAAGTTGTTCCTTGTTTGATCTCTAATGATAAAATAAATATTAAAGACCAGAAAAAATGGAAAAATTAAATATGCATGTATGGACTAATGTTCCTAACTTCCCAAGGTAATCTTCTCTCCGCTCATCTTATATTAGTTGATTACATTTTATTTTTATACATAGACGTCAAGATAATTTATGAAAAAAATATGTTTAATATCATAAGACATCTGAAAAGATATCATTAGGATAAGTACATAGTAATTAATGACTCTTGAAAAAAGAAACTTTTGGAACTTTTCAAATTTGTTTAATGCTTCAAACGAGTATTAATTGTAGGGCAAAATGCAAAAAAAAAAGAGTTAATTTTATCTTTTGATATAATAAGTGATTAACTTGTAATAATTTTGGATATATATTTTTAATGAGGTAATCAACTATTTTCTAGCTCTATCCAACAATAGTTGTTTACTATATTATTTTGAGATGTCTAATAATATTTGTCCATTTTATGAAATCAATGGATAATTTTACATTTCGTTCCGTAACAATATTTGTTTACTATAACTTAAAGGAATTATACATTTTTTTCTTTTTGAATTAAAATTTTAAATTTATATTTAACTTAAGTTTTTATATATAATCTTCTAATAATACTATTTTATTTCTTAATTAATTAACGGGTTCATTCTGCTGCTTTTGCTTTGCCAACTTTTGCTGAAAAAGTGCTTAACCCTAAAAAGTGATTCTTATTGGAAGATGTAGGAATTTCAAGTAATTTTTGATGTTTCAATAAAATTGATAGATAATTTTCATTTGCAAATTTAATTTTCTTGTAATAATGGACGTTTGGGTTGTTCGAATCGAATATATATGAAAATTTCTATTTGAATTTCTATTTTCGAATTTAAGAAATTACCATAGATGTATTTTTATGTTTTGTGTCTCCTTAGGTTTTACACAATTTTCATCATAGGTACTCTTTCTCTTCTTTTGGTCCCCATGTATAATTATTTCTTTCGTTCGATAATGTTTGTCCAATTTAAAAAATTAAAAGATAATTTATTTTTTATATCTATTTTTTACTTATTATTAAATATTATTTATCATCTATCATATTTCTCAAAGCAGTAAGTTTAATAAAGTGAAAAGATAATATAATGGTGTTACCCTTTTTATTTATTAGAGTATTTATCATCTAACACAACTATTATTAGATAGAGATTGTAACACAATAATTAATAATACACTCAATTCAGTATTATAAGACGTGTAACTAACACAGCTATCATATTGTTAAACTAAAAATTTAGTTATTCAAAAATTATACAAAAAGTACTATAACAGGCAAGTTTTTATATATCAATATGATATTAAAAAATACATTATAAAATAATAGTCAAAATTCTTTTTGTCAGACTCTAAAAGAGAAAATCATAACACCAAAAAGAAACGAAGGAAATTTAATATTAACAATACAAAGCTATTGTTGGTTATTAGTACATGAATAAGTATAACAAAAATTATAACTATTATTATTACATCAAACCAAACAATAAATTAAAAAAAAATAATCACAATATTACTTTGTTCAGTAT